TTTGGTTCACTCCCCTTTCAATGTTATGGTCAAAACTAAGTTAGGGCGTATATTTATTAACCTAATCAAAAAACATTTCCCCAACCCTGAAACTAACCCACTTAGTAAAATATTTAATCCTAATACCCTTAAATTAAGCTATAGTTGTGCTGATAACCTAGAGCAGATAATTAAAAAACATAACAACATAGTCTTTAACAAGTACAGGAATTCAAAAGGCTTGACTAATCAACAGGTTACTAACTGCAATACTAATTATAAGAATACAAATAACAACTTATGTAATTGTAGGAATCCGAATAATTGTCCACTACAAAATAACTGTGGGATTACTTCTGTAGTCTATCTTGGTACTATTTCAACAATTGAAAATCCAAATATAAAGAAGTTTTACATTGGTTCTACTATGAAAACATTCAAGGAACGCTGGCGGGGGCATATGCAATCCTTTTAATCACAGTCAATATAGGTACATGACTTCATTATCCAAGTATTTTGGAATCTAAAAGATAAGAACAAAACACCTACGATTAAATGGAGTTTGGTTACGAAAGCTCGTACATGTAACTCCCTATATACCCCATGTTACCTATGCCTTAATGAAAAATTTGAAATTATTAGATTTAAAAACAAGGCTGATCTCTTAAATCAAAGATATGAACTGACAGTAAATTGTAAACACCGTTATAAATTTAACTTAGTGTAGGGGTCGTATACTTTAAATGATAATGATATGTCGCTGTATTTTTAATAGATTAGTATTTTTATTGCATAATGGTCATACTTACGATATAAGTGTGTATTGTTTACCTGCATAGTGTTATCAGTGTTGGTGTAAATATATATATATTTATTTATGTGTTGGTTAGAGTATTTGCACTGAGGAATGTGTAGGTTGGTGTATAAATGTATTTATGGTTTTTTTTTTTTTTTTTACATGTGAGGGTGTATGTGTGGGGTATGTATGTATGTATATATATGTGAGTGTGTGTGTATATATGTATATATATATTATGTGGGAAGGTAAGGTAGATTATGAGAGAAAAGGTTAATAATTATTACTGTATATGTGTATGTGTGTGCCTATATATGTATGTGTGTATGGGTGTGTGTATATATGTATGTATTTGTGTGTGTATGTGTGTATATGTATGTATGTATGTAGATATATATATATATATATGTTTGTATATATATATGTATATATATATATATATGTATGTGTGTATATGGTTGGATATATATATATATATATATGTATATATGCATATATATATGTATGTGTGTATATGTATGTATGTGTGTGTGTGTGTATGTGTATGAGTATGTACAGGTATGTATATGATTAAATCACGACAGTATAATGGTTGGCCAGCATGGTTCACTAGATTGGGTGCGACTGAGTAATGAGTTCGTTCCTCACTGGATGCCCCTTGATTTCAGCTTTGTGCCACAATATATTTGTATATATATGTATGTGTATGTGTGTATGTATGTGTGTATATATATATATGCGTGTGTGCATATATATATATGTGTATATATATCTGTATGTCCTATTTTATTGTGTATGTGTATTTATATTTAAGTATATTTCTGTTTGTATGAATGTGTTTATATATTTGTATGTTAGACTATATGTATATTGCTGTGTGTTGGTGTTTGAAGGTATATTTATGTATCTATATGTTAGTTCGTTTATATATGTATTTGGTTGAAAGTTGTTGTATTTTTATATATGCATGTATATATGGGTGGTTGTTATTGCAGGTAGATATATTTATGGATATATATATATGTTTATTTGTAGATATGTATGTATGTGTGTATATATATTTATGTATGTTTGTGTATGTATATATATAGGTGTGTGTGTGTGTTGGAACCTATTATGTATGAGTTTGTGTGTATGTGTAGGTATGGAAACTTTGGTATATCATGACTGTTTTTTATATATCTAAGTATGTGTGCATAAAAGTCTATGTGTGTATATATGTGTGTGTATTTAGGTTTATATGTATATGTACGTACATATGTACTTGTTATCATAGATATGTATATGTACGTATATGTTTATGTTTATATATTTATTCGTGTGTATTTCTGTACGTATATGTATGTATGAATATATATATATTTTTTTTTTTTTTTTTTTATGTGTGTTAATTTGTTTTTGCTGCCGTGTATATATATATATATATATATATATATTTGTGGATTTCTTTATCCTGTTTTTCTTTGCCAAATATATAATGAAACTATTATCAACTTATATGATTAATAATATATATATATTTTTATTGATATTTATTGTTTTAGAGTTTTCGTTTTAATATATTAAATAATATTATTTTAAACATTTTTATCTTTATATATTTGCTCCCTTAAGTTATAATTCAATAAGTGGTTAGCATTTATTTAAGTCTGAAATATTTACTGGTTGTGATTTCTCAATGTCTATGCCATTGTGGATGTATGTTTGTGTATATATCGGTGTCTATGTGTATGTAGAGTGTATTCACATTTAACTGTGTGTGTGTATAAGTGTTAGTTTCCATCGTCTTTTTTTTCGTAAAGGGCTGTGGAGTTGTTCATATTCCCCCACCTCTTCCTTTTTTTTTTTTTTTTTTTTTTTAAGTGTGTGTGTGTATGTGTGTGTGTGTGTGTGTGTGTGTGTGTGTGTGTGTGTGTGTGTGTATCTAATTATGTCTGGATGCGTATGTATTATAATCTGATTGTGTTTTTTGTTGTGTCACGCGTGAGTTTAAGACCATATTCACAAACTTTAAAATAAAAACGGAAAAGAAAAAAAAATATATACATGTATTATCAGATGACCGGACGAATTGTAGCTTTTTTGTCTTGTCAGACGTAATTTCAATGAAGAAATGAATTGAATAAACATATATATTTTTTTCTTTTCTCAATAATTTTGTAGTTTTAAACTTAATAGTGATTAAATTTGGATTTTTAAAAATTGCCAGTTTTTAATTTTAATATTAAATTTTATCATATAAATTTATAATTATTAGTTAGTAAAAATTATTTTTAATATTACACGTATTTAAAGATCTAAATAGCTATAATAGCAGGATTTTGTTGTCAAGCTTTTGAATCTTTCTGTACTTCGTTTTTGATTGGTTATTCTAGCTTTTGTAACAATGCTCCCCCTAGTGTAGGATCGTTAATTAATCTGAAACTTTTAAAACCATTTATTTTCTTTTCAACACCATCACTTGATAAGACACAGAGTGTGTTGAAACAAAATGGCTATTTTTGTAGTGATTTTATAACATACTTATGTTATAAATTTTTATAAAAATAATTATATATATATATATATATATATATATATATATATATATATATATATATATATATCGTTTAGTGAATGTGAAGTTAGTGACCGTACTGCTCTAAACTGGTTTAGGGGGCTTTCCAAAGAAAATAAATTACTTGAAGGTCACATCTGGACAGTTTTTGTGCGATCTATCAACTGAAAAGAAAAAATTATAAGATTGTATAAGAAACTATATAAAAAATCTTAATCAAAGCACCTTGTCTGTCATAGTGAATGAAGCTTGCATATATATATATATGTGTGTGTGTGTGTGTGTGTGTGTGTGTGTGTGTGTGTGTGTGTGTATAGATCTTTTAGTGAAGGTGAAGTTAGTGACCTTACTGCTCTAAATTGGTTTGGAGGGGGGGGGGCTTTCCAAAGGAAATAATTCACTTGAGGATCACTTCGTAAAGAACGGCTTGTAACTGTTCATGATGAGAACCTAAACATTTGCGTTAAATCTTGAAGCGTTTGCATTAAGGTTGAAAACAAATGATAAATCTATTTGTTTGTATCTCGTCCGAAAAAAGAAGGTTTGTCTCAAATCGAGAGGAAATTAATTTTATTCGAGTCATCGACTTTACGAATGAAAAATATCTGATAACAGCGAATAAATACAAGACTTTGAATTTTCTACGTTCTATTTTTCACGATAAGTACGACCGTAGTTTATTAAATTTTCACACTTTACTTTTGTTATTCTTGTCTTACTTACGAAGTAATTGTTTTTCTTTTTTAAAGTCCTCCTTCTGAATGGAGTCTTCTTCAGCACCCAAACGTATTTGAAGTTAATCGCCATATTGTTTCATATTTTAATTCTGTGTCAACTTCTACAAACACGCAGACACACGCAAATCTAAAAATGAACAATCTATATATAAAACTCTGTGGTCTCCATTAGTTCATCACACCCTCTAAAATATCCTTACATTTACCGATCGAAACCAAATTAAACCCAGGTAAACGTGTACAAAATACAGTTGGTTTTACAAGGGTGCGTAGCTTAGTACAATAAATTCTCATTAATTCTGTAAGAAGAATTAATAGTTTTATTATTTAACATAAAAATACATTCACAATTTTAAAAAAAGATAATGATTAAAATAGCAAATTCTTATCTAATAAAAAATGCTATATTGTTTTTGTTTGTTTTGTTTTTTTTTCATATCTTTTCTTTAAGGTTTTATATTTTTAATTCTGGTAAAATATAATGCACAGAAAATATAAACACAGTAGGGAGGGCCTGGAGAATCTGATACTCACGGGTCAAATAGAAGGAAAGAGAGACAAGGGAAAACAACACGTGACATACCTGGTGGACTTGGACAGGTGGATGACAGAACGTGTTCTAGGGGAGGAAGCAGAGGGAAGGAACTTGTTGAGAGCTGCAAGGGATAGAGGGAGGTGGAGAGCCATGATCGCCTACATCCTGAAAGGACATGGCACATAAAAAGAAAGGGAAAGTTTCAGATGCGCAGAGGAAGCGATAACTTGAACAATTCTAAAAACTTTAAGGATTTCAACATGCATCAGGGTTTTGCAAAAAAAATCTAGAAATATTAAATTTTCAAAGCAGAAAATTAAATTATACTGCATAAATGAATTTTTTCACATCCTTGTCAAACTTCACGATATATTTTAACATAGCCATTTGTGAAGTATGTTTCTTTTGATGTTTGCAAACGTTATTGAATGTTACATTTCATAAGAATTATTTTAATTTAATAAATAAAAGTAAATAGATAAGACTGCTACTGACAGTCTTTTTCTACAGATACTTTAAGCAATTTTTTAAGATTTTTTCTCTCTGCCATGTTGCATCTGATCCTTTACGACATTTCTCTTTTCTTTTTCTTTTTTTACCAATGTTCACCCAATACAAGCCACAAGAGTCACTCAAGATAGAGAGTTAATGTGTGGTGTTTGTTGTATTAGCGTAAGAAAAGGGAAGAAGTAAAGCAGGAAATATAACGACTGGCTCTAGACTTGAAGAAGTCAAGAATTAATTAATGAACAATATTTCAGAGTTAATAGTCTTGAAGTAAACTTTAGAAGGATCGGAAGCCAAATGCTAAACAGGAAACAACGCATAATCTATCAGTTTTCTTTTTCGTTTTTCTATCATTTTTCTTTTTTCCGTTTCTATCATTTTTTCTGTTTATACCATTTTTCTTTTTCTATCATTTTTCTTTTTTCTTTTTTTACCATTTTTCTTTCTTCTTTTCTATCATTTTTCTTTTCTATCATTTTTCTTTTCCTATAATTTTTTCTGTTTCTACCATTTTTCTTTTTCTATCATTTTCCTTTTTTCTTTTTCTATCATTTTTCTTTTTTCTTTTCTTACCATTTTTCTTTCTTCTTTTCTTTTTCTATCATTTTTCTTTTTCTATCATTTTTCTTTTTCTCTCATTTTTTTCTGTTTCTATCATTTATATTTTTATTTTTCTATCATTTTTCTTTTTTCTGTTTTTACCATTTTTCTTTTTTCCTTTCCTATGATTTTTTTCTATCATTTTTCTTTTTTCGTTTTCTATCATTTTTATTTTTTATTTTTTACCATTTTTCTTTCTACTTTTCTAACATTTTTCTTTTTTCCTTTTCTTTTTTCCTTTTCTTTTTTCCTTTTCTTTTTTCCTTTTCTTTTTCTATCATTTTTCTATCATTTTTCATTTTCTATCATTTTTTTTCTGTTTTTACCATTTTTCTTTTTTCCTTTTCTATAATTTTTCTTTTTTCTGTTTTTACCATTTTTCTTTTTTCCTTTTCTATAATTTTTCTTTTTTCTGTTTTTACCATTTTTCTTTTTTCCTTTTCTATAATTTTTCTTTTTTCTGTTTTTACCATTTTTCTTTTTTCCTTTTCTATAATTTTTCTTTTTTCTGTTTTTACCATTTTTCTTTTTTCCTTTTCTATAATTTTCTTTTTTCTGTTTTTACCATTTTTCTTTTTCTTTTTCTATCATTTTTCTTTTTCTGTTTTTTACCATTTTTTTTTCTTTTTCTTTTCTATTTTTTTTTTTTCCGTTTCTATAATTTTTCTTTTTCTGTTTTTACCATTTTTCTTTTTTCTTTTTCTATCATTTTTCTTTTTTCCTTTTCTATAATTTTTCTTTTTTCTGTTTTTACCATTTTTCTTTTTTCCTTTTCTATAATTTTTCTTTTTTCTTTTCTATCATTTTTCTTTTTTCTTTTTCTATCATTTTTCTTTTTTCTGTTTTTACCATTTTTCTTTTTTCCTTTTCTATAATTTTTCTTTTTCCTTTTCTATAATTTTTCTTTTTTCTGTTTTTACCATTTTTCTTTTTTCCTTTTCTATAATTTTCTTTTTTCTTTTCTATCATTTTTCTTTTTTCTTTTTCTATCATTTTTCTTTTTTCTGTTTTTACCATTTTTCTTTTTTCTTTTTCTATCATTTTTCTTTTTGCTTTGCTATAATTTTTCTTTTTTCTGTTTTTACCATTTTTCTTTTTTCCTTTTCTATAATTTTTCTTTTTTCTTTTCTATCATTTTTTTTTTTTTTTTCTATCATTTTCTTTTTCTGTTTTTACCATTTTTTTTTCTTTTCTATCATTTTCTTTTTTCCTTTTCTATAATTTTTTTTTTTCTGTTTTTTACCATTTTTCTTTTTTCCTTTTCTATAATTTTTCTTTTTTCTTTTCTATCATTTTTCTTTTTTCTTTTTCTATCATTTTTCTTTTTTCTGTTTTTACCATTTTTCTTTTTTCTTTTTCTATCATTTTTCTTTTTCCTTTTCTATAATTTTTCTTTTTTCTGTTTTTACCATTTTTCTTTTTTCCTTTTCTATCATTTTTCTTCTTTTCGTTTCCTATCATTTTTCTTTTTCTTTCATTTTTCTTTGTATTATTTTTCTTTTTCGTTTTTCCATCATTTTCCTTTTCTTTTTCTAACATCTTTCTTTTTTCTGTTTCTATCATTTTCTTTCTTCTTTTTTCTGTTTCTGTCATTTTTCTTTTTCCTTTTCGTTTTTCTATCATTTTTCTTTTCTGTTGTTCTTTTTCTATCATTTTTCTTTTTCTTTTTATAACATTTTTCTTTTTCCTTATTCGTTTTTCTATCATTTTCTTTTTTCTGATTCTATCATTTTTTCGTTTTCTATTATTTTTATTTTTATAACATTTTTCTTTTTTCCTTTTCTATCGTTTTTCTTTTTCTGTTTTTACCATTTTTCTTTTTTCTTTTCAATCATTTTTCTTTGTTCTTTTTCTATCATTTTTGTTTTTCTATATTTTTTTCCGTTTCTATCATTTTTCATTTTTCGATTTTCTATCATTTTTCGATTTACTATCATTTTTCTTTTTCGATTTTCTATCATTTTTCTTTTCCTTTTTCTATCATTTTTCTTTTTCCTTTTTCTATCATTTTTCTTTTTCCTTTTTCTATCATTTTTCTTTTTTGTTTTTTTCTTTTTCTTTCATTTTTCTTTTTCTATCAATTTTCTCTTTTATATTTCTACCTTTTTTCTTTATTTTTCTTTTTTCTATCTTTTTCATCCCGACTATGTTCTCTCAAATTTTCTATCTGTTTAGTATTTTCCCTCCTTTTCTACTATTCCCTTACCGCCATATTCTACGCTTTCATCTTTTTGCCTTGTTCTCTCTTTCTTTCTTTTTATGCTTCTTTTCTCCCTGCCATATTCTGTCTTATATTTTCGTTTTACTATTCTTTTCTAACATTCCATTTCCTTCAACCTGTTTAATATATTTCCTGTTCTATCTTAATTTCCATTCTACCATTTTCTTATCTTTCCACTTCCTTTAGCTATTGGCTAAATCTCTTGATTCACTTCTGTCATTTCTTATTTTCTTTCCGCCACTTTCCAACATTTCTGGCCGCCATTTTTTTACTATCTTTCTCGCCATTTTTTACTATCTTTCACGCCGTTTCCCCAAATTTGTCAGGACAAAGATTTTATCGATCCAGAAATTTAAGATAAAAAGCAACAATAATAAATATGTAACAAAATAACAGCAGTAAAACTATCAATTTTATTCTGTCTATTAATTGCGATGGATTCATACACGGTATTTTTCTCTGTCGACAGAACTTAGAATATGCCGACTACAGCCTTTAAAGGGTAAGACATATGCCTCGAGAAAAAAAAAGACAACATTCCGAGTGAATACTTGCGGACTAGTCGGATGTAACACTGTCTACCTTTCTTACTCTAGTGCAAAGAAGACCAGTGTCTATTTTGTTGACTACACTGGATATCATATCACTGTCTACCTTTTTAACTCTTGTGCAAACCAGACTAGTGTCTGTTGACAACAGAGGAAACCTGATCAATGTCTACCTTGTTTACTCTAGTACAAAACAGTCCAGTGTCTACTATGCTGACTACAGTGGAAACCTTATTACTGTCTACCTTTTTGGCTCTTGTGCAAACGAAACCAGTGCCTACTTTGTCGGCTACAGTGTAAAACCGGATCATTGTCTACCTTTTTCACTCTAGAGCAAACTTGACATATGTCCATCTTTTTTTTCTTTTTTTTATGCAGCTAGTATAAACTGAACCGAGGGTTAACTTTTTGACTCTTTGTAAACCGAATCTATTTTAACTTTAGTTTAAAGCCGACACATGTCTATCCTTTTGACTTTTCTGTAAACCGAACTTTTGCCTACCTTTTAACTTTGAACACAACCTGACCTATATCTATCTCTCAATTAATTCATCGTAAGTGTTGTCCTGTAAGCCACATATTTGACATTATCTCAACACAGGATTAATATATTATTAAATTAATCAACATAACATACCGCGATCTGATCATATTTGTCTTTTCATCTAATGAAAATCTCTCTCTCTCTAATGTCTTTTTTACCTTTTCACGTATTTATTTTCTTCTCGTTACCCGATGTTTTTCTTGTCTTTCTTCCATTCTCTTTCTTTTTTTTCTTTTCTTTTTTTGGCTCTATCAGTTTCAGACATTCTTTATTCTGCTAATTCTTTCATTTTCTTTTCTCTTTATTTCTCTACTGTTTCTTTCACTCTATCTCTTTTCCATAGTCTTTCTTTTCGCTCTTTTTTGACTTTCTTTTTACCTTTTCTAGGCTTATTTTTTCCTTTATCTTTCACACTTTCTCTCTCACGTTTTTTCCTTCCAAATTTCCAATTCTCTCCCTTTATCTCTTTATCTAACTTTTTAGAATTCTCTTTGTTTCTTTTCTTCGTTCTTTATTTTATTCGTTTGTTCTTAATTACTTTCTTTCTTTATTTCTTTCATTCTTTCTTATCTGTCTTTCTTTCGCTCGCTCATTTGTTCTTTCTTTCTTTCTTTCTTTCTTTCTTTCTTATCACTAACATTCGTTTTATCTCTTTCTATTTCCTTGTCTTTTTTTCATCAATCCCGTAATGGCATGTTTTTTTTTTTTTGCTTTTTTTTTGTTTTGTTTTTTCACGCTCCATTTCTTTCAATATGTTTCTCTTTAAATATTTCCTTCAATTTTTTCGATTTGCCACCCCACCCTCGCTTGAACAATCTGACCTTTTCTTCTCTTCCATTTCCTTTCTTTCTTTATTTCTTTCAGACCCATTTATATTTTTCTTCTTTTCTCCAGTCCTCTTTACGTTTAACCCTTGACTCTTTCCTACCGATGTGCAATTGTATCCTTCTCTTCTCAACTAAAAATAACTAAAATA